ATATATATATATATATATATATATATATATATATATGTTACATGGTTTATAGGTTAGCGGAGTGTGGCGACGCGGCGCCGCCTCCCTCCTGGGGGCGCTGAACGCGGGCGAGGCAGCTACCGGCTTCATCAGGCAGGCTGCCGATCACCTGAGGTCAGAGGTCGCGCTTCCGGGCACCTCGCCACACAGGTACGTGCGTGTGTGTGTGTGTGTGGGTGCTGCGTGCGTGCGTGTGTGCGTGCGTGCGTGCGTGCGTGCGTGCGTGCGCATGCATACGACCTATGTACATCTGCATATTATATATATATGGGCATGTCATTTTCCCTCTCATCAGACTTGCAGTTGTGCTCGTGAAATAATTAACGATTTACTCGCAATTACTAATTAAGACATCTGCTTCTTTCCTCCATCCGCAGGGTGGTGGAGCTAGCATCCAAGGCTGCAGACTTGCTGATCGTTGCCACGGAAACCTCGCCCGACGATGCTGCGCTGTTCCTCAGGAAGGTGCTGCCCTCGCGTGAGCAATGGAGGAAACTCGAGCAGCAAGGCTTGGTCGATCAGGTAGGGCTGTCGTGGGGGGTGAACGAAGAAACGGAGGAGGAGGAGGGGAAGGAAGAGGAGGAAGAGGAGGAGGAGGTAAAGGGGGAAGTGGAGGAAGGAGGAAAAGGAGGAGGAGGTGTGAAAAGGAGCAAAGGTGGGAGGCAGAAGAGTGGGAGAATGCAGACGAGGAGGTGAAGGAGGAGTGAGGAGAAGGAGGAGGACGGGGAGGAGGAGAAGGCATCGAGCGAGAAAACGACTGAGTGGTGTCATTGCACTACATGCTTTCCAACTAGTTCAGAGGTTTTTTGGTGAAAGTTCACTTCACACATGTCGTGTATATATGTATATATATATATATATATATATATATATATATGTATTTATTTTTATTTTTATTATATTATGTTATATAGATATATTGTATTATATATATATATATGCCAACATAATATATATAAATATATAACTTACACAAATAACATGTATATATATATATAGATATATATCGCTCTCAACATCATCTCCTTCTCTTACAGTGGGAAGCCGTCGTTGCTCTCACCGGACAGCTCGCCCTCACGATGGCGCCACCGTCGACCGTGGGGGCGCCACCGTGCTCACAGGCGCACGCCGTGGCGACGGCGTTCAGCGCCAACCTGCTCATGATGGCGGCGCAGCGAGTCTCCGCCCGCAAGACTGGTGAGTGGCGCCCCCTTGTGGCGCATCACCGGGAAAATCGACGGCGAGAAAAAAACACCGTCCACAAATAAAGACGTCGTGAGAAAATCTCGCGTTTTCGTCGTCGCTTCGATTTTGATCTGATTTTGATTTGATCGAATTTTATTTTGATGTGATTTTGATTCGATCGAATTTGAATTTGATTTTCATCTAATTTTGATTTTTGCGTATCATCTGGTTTTTGCGCAGTCGAGCCGAGAGAGGGAGCAGAGGATCCTGCTGGTGAGGAGGATGAGGATGGGGAGGAGGAGGATGGAGAGGACACTAGAGGGCGCTTGGAGGAGCTTTTCTCGGCCGACTGCGTACAGTGCTGCCTCCTACAGTGCGCACGTCAGCTGGCGTGCGGTCAAGCGGTGCTAGAACATTGCAAGGTGTGTGTGATGTAGTGGTTATCATTGGTAGTCTCTCTCTCTCTCTCTCTCTCACTCTCTACTACTCTACTTGTCGTCTCGTCGTCTACT